TTTACCACTTATGAGTTGTGACTAACTACCTCAGCCAAATGGAACCATTACTAGTGCCTACCATTTTCAGTCATTCATAAATAGTTATTGAGCCTCTATCAAGGGGTTATTCTGGATATCAAGGAAACAATAATAAGACAAAAATGGGTTATTATTTAAAATACTTAGGACAGTGCCTGGAACTTAGCCTGGAATTCAGCAATGATATTCTGTTCTAGTACTTTTCTGAGAATAGATACATGGGTAGGATAACCTTTGGCAGCAACTGAAGGACCAGATCTCTGAGACAGGGACAGATACAAGAAGGGCTAAGATAAGATTCTAGATTTGGACTTAGGTCCAGGACAGCACTGGCTTTCATGGCCTTTCACTTCTGGCACTTCGTTTTGAGGTTAAACACATGAGCTGGGTAAAGATCAGCCTGGAAAATTTATGAGTCTGTTTAGTTCTATAGAAAGGGCAGGAGGCAATGACCCTAGACTGCCTAGATTCTACCTAGCCTCCTTGTACAGAATGTACAGTGCCTACCAAGCTGAGTATGAATGACTGCCAGAGGCTATGTGGGCACCAGGAGGAGAGGTCCTAGAAGCTGAAAGAAGGAAAGCAGGGCCAGGGCCCTCTGCCTACTGGAATAGGAGGTAGCTGGGGGATTCAAGAGCAGAACCTTGGAAGGAAAGTGAGGTAGGGCAGAAGTGGCATAGCTTGATAAATTACTTTCCTTCCCTATTTCAAGTCATTCCACAGGGAGTGTTGCCCAAGATGCCTGGTATGATCATTCATTTCGTGATTACTGTTAGAGGCAAAGTTTAGACTCCAGGCTCCTGATTCATTGTCTGTGGTTTCCAGTGAAAGTCCAAGCCTCACTGAAACCTGATGTAACATTGTAAGAAAAAGAAAGTCCAAGCCTGAGGACAGGTTTTATGGAGATAGGATTGGAATAGAAATGAATGTTTTATTTCCTGGAGATGAACAGGTTCTTCAAGGCTGGGCGCTGATAGCTCATGCCTCTAATCCTAGCTACTTAGGAGACTCAGATCTGAGAATCATAGTTCAGAGCTGGCCTGGGCAAGAAAGACCATGAAACTATTATCTGCAAGTAGTCACCAAAAAGCTCGAAGTGAAGCTGTGATAGAGAACCAGCTTTGAGTGAAAAGGCTAAGGGACAGCACCTAGGCCCTGAGTTCAAACTCCAGTACTAGCACCAAAAAAAAAAAAAAAAGAAGAAGAAGAAGAAGAAGAAGTTCTTCAGCTACCACCCTACTCAGGGAAAGATAGCTGTAATCCTAACTGTGGTGTAGCACCTGCTTCATTGTTTCACTTTCTCTTCTCCATTTATTCCCATAGAAGGTTTCAGAGATGAATATCTTCACAGCACAGGAAAGGTGCCCTTGACATGAGATAGGGGCCAGTCTCGTGGGCCAAGCATTCTTGGATCATTTCCCATGTGAGCTGCTGGCATGGATGCTCTTGGGACTGGCTACTTGGCAGGAAACCATGGTAGCTGGCACACATAGGGACAGATGAAGTAGTTCTGGGCCCATTCCAGGATTCTCAAGTGTAGCCAGGTTCAGGACCACTGGATACCATACTCTTTCATCTCATTTTTATTTTGCTTCATTCAGTCTTTAGGCATTGCTTCAGTTCAGTTCAGCCACGTATGTGAAATTAGAATTAGGCAAAGCATACCACAATAAAGGAAGTAGGATTATAGCAGTGCTTCTCAACCTTTGTTGTTGTTGTGATTACCTCCCTAAAAAGCCTTTTAAGCCATCACCGGTGGCTCACACTTGTAATCCTAGCTACTCAGGAGGCTAAGATCTGAGGATCCCGGTTCAAAGCCAGCCAGGGCAGAAAAGTCCGTGAGACTCTTATCTCCAATTAACCAGTAGAAAACTGGAAGTGGGACTGTGGCTCAAGGGGTAGAAGGCAGTAGAGCGCTTGCCTTGAGCCAAAGAGCATAGGGACAGCGCCCAGGCCTAGAGTTCAAGCCCCACCACCAACAAAAACAACAACAACAAAAGCCTTTTAAAATATTTTTCCTAATTATCCCCTCTCAAGAAATTATAATGCCACAGATACATCAAAAATATATTTATGAGCCGGGGGCCGGTGACTCACGCCTATAATCCTAGCTACTCAGAAGGCTGAGATCTGAAGATAGTGGTTCAAAGCCAGCCCGGGCAGGAAAGTCTGTGAGACTCTTAGCTCCAATAAATCACTAAAAAACCAGTGGCGCTGCGGCTCAAGTGGTAGAGCGCTCGCCTTGAGCTGAAGAGCTGAGGGACAGCACCCAAACCCAGAGTTCAAGCCCCACGGCCGAAAAAAAAAAATCTCTTTATGGAGCAGGGAAGGTGGCTTGTGGTAGACTGCTTACCTAGCATGCATGAGGACCTGGGTCCTGCTCCTTGGTATCACATAAACATAAAATTAACAAGAGAAAAATAACCATTAAAATTTTTTTAATCTATTTGAGTCAGACATCAGTGGCTCATGACTGTAATCCTAGTTACTTAGGAGGCAGAGATCTGAAGATTGTGATTTGAGGCCAGCCCAGGCAGATAACGTGGCTAAACACCATCTCCAAATAACCAGCAAAAAACCAGAGCTGAGAGCATAGCTTGAGTGGTAAAACGTTTGCTTATCAAGCTCAAGGCCCTGGGTTCAAACCCCAGTACTGCCAAAAAAAATTTATTTATGTACTATATGTGTTATACATAAAGAGTAACTTTTTATACCCCTCAAAAAACAATTTTGGGGCTGGGAAGGTGACTCAGTGGTAGAGCACTTGCCTTGCAAGCATGAGGCCCTGGGTTCGATTCCTCAGCTCCACATAAGCAAAAAGAAAAAAGCTGGAAGTGGTGCTGTGGCTCAAGTGGTAGAGTGCTAGCCTTGAGCTGAAGAGCTGAGGAACAGCACCCAAGCCCAGAGTTCAGGCCCCACTACCAGACCCAAAAATAAATAAATAAACAAAAAACAATTTTGGGAACTGGGAGTATGGTTTCCAGGCCCTGAGTTCAAACCCAATACTGCAAAAAAGCAATTTTTGTTTGGGGGGCTACACACAATCTCTCATGTCTAAAATCCCAGGAGGAAGAGATGGGTGAATCTTAATTCTGAGCCAGGCCCGAATGCAAATAAAAATAAGGAAAGTATGTGAAACCCTGTTTCAAAATTCAAGGTAGACCAGGCACGAATGGCTCATATCTATAATCCTTAACTACATAGGAAGGTGAAAACAGAAAGATGGTGATTTGAAGCCAGACCAACAGAAAAGTCTTCAGAGTTCATCCCAAAAGGGAAGCTGGATGTGGTGGCATGTGCCTGTGATCCTAGCAACTACAGGAAGCCTGTAGGAGGCGGATCTTGGTTCCTGTGCAGGCCCAGGCAGAAAGGATGGAAAGTGAGAACATATCCTGAAGAAAAAAGTGCAAAACAGGCCTGGATTCATGGTTCAGCTGTAGACACTAGCTTAGCAAACAGAGGCCCTGAACTTAAACCTCAGTTCTGCCATAAATAAAAGTTGGCTCTGGGGACACATATCTGTAATTCCAGCTACACAATGAGGCAGAGGTAGGCGAATCTCTGTAGCCAGCCCTGGACTGGTAAGAGACCATATCTGAAAAATAAACTAAGGCAAGACAAGTTGTGAGCATAACTGAAGTGGTAGAGCAAATGTGAGGCGCTAAGTTCAAACCCCAGCACTACCCCACCATAACAATCACTCCCTTTGGGAAACTATCTCACCTATTAAGGAGGCAGAGATTACTGGAAAAGCACTAGGGGACTGCAGTAGAGAATATAAAATTGCAATAGGCTTCAGAAGTTTTGTTGACTTTATTTCCCATCTCCATAATTTTGTCTTGTTTCTTAGTCTGTTGTTCCTGTGTTGCTCCCAGTCTGCCTGTTCTGGTTTCATCTTTTTTCTCTCTCTGGTGTGAAAGTAAACGATTAAAATAATAAGATTTACAGGGCTTGGAATGTAGGTCAGTGGTAAAGCATTTGCTGTCAAGACCTTAGATTCAGTCCCTGTGGCGGGGGGGGGGGGGGAAGAGGGAAGCAAGGAAGATAGGTTAGTTTTTTTTGAAGTGGGATATACCTGTAATTCCAACACTTTGGAAGCTGAAGGAAGATTGTGAGTTCAAGGCCAGTGTGAGCTATATAATGAGTTGGAGGCCCTCCTTGCTACACTGCCAGACGCTATGGAAAGAAAGAAAGAAAGAAAGAAAGAAAGAAAGAAAGAAAGAAAGAAAGAAAGAAAGAAAGAAAGAAAGAAAGAAAGAAAGAAAGAAAGAAGGAAAGAAGGAAGGAAGGAAAGAAAGAAAGCCAAGCACCTGTGGCTCACGCCTGTAATCCTAGCTACTCGAGAGGCTAAGATCTGAGGATGATAGTTCAAAGCCAGCCTGGGCAGGAAAGTCCATGAGACTCTTACCTCCAATTAACCACCAGAAAACCATGTGGCTCAAGTGGTACAGTGCTTGCCTTGAGCTGAAGAGCTCAAGGACAGTGCCAAGGCCCAGAGTTCAAGCCCCACTACCGACAAAAAAAAAAAAGTAAATAAACTGTACAACTCAGAGACACTTAAGGAAGATGATTCTTTACAACAACCTTCAGAGAAGCCCTCTCTTTGAGGAGGCAGGGGTGAAGGAAGAGTCCAGAGACCTGTGAAGAATTCATGTGAAAACATAATATACTGAGTGGAGGAAGTAGAAATAGATGATGTCTGGAGTTGCCTTTTTGAAGGTACCACCCAGGAAATCTTTATTTTTGGTGTACTTGGGGTTGAACTCAGGGCCATGCACTTTCTAGGCAGGCGATCTACCACTTGACTTATGACCCAAGGCCCTCAGAAGTTTTTACATGGTGCCTGCAGGTTTGGGTGTGGGTGACCAATAGTGAATCTAGCTGCATTATGGGTTGATAGCAGTTCTGACAGTAGAATGATATCAGATTCCTTTTCTCTGGCTAGACAGACCAAAGATAGTATTTCTTCTCCTCTATAGAAATTACCAGAGGCATGTAGCCTTGGTGATGGAAAGCCATTTGTCACGAATCTTCAGAGTTTGTATGTAGCAGTCACCAAACAAGAGGTCCAAGCAGCACAGAAGTTTCAAGGCACTGGTGAGTAGCTCCAGACATACCTGATCTGCATGGGATTAGAGTTAAGCTCTAGGTTTGTGCTGTCCAATATATGAAGCGTTAGCCACATTATTAATTAAACTAATAAGAATTAAGGGCTAGGGACCTAGCTCAAGTGATAGAGCACTTGCCTGGCATGTTCCACGCCCAGAATTTAATCTCTCACCCACCCTACCCCTGAAATTTAATTGAATAAATAAAATTGAAGTAAAATAGAAAATTTATTCTCGCATGTGTTCTAGCCACATTTCAAGCACTCAGTCAATGGATGTGGCCTGTGGCACTAGCCTAGGTTCTTAGGGGTTAGTGAGAGTCAGTGCAAGATTAATCCCTCTACCAACAGGTATCAGAGAATGTGTAGAGGAACAGTTGGCCTCTTTTAAGTCAAGGAAATTCTCATCCTTTCTGCTGAAAGTGGGCCTGGTGAATCTTCATAGAAACAGCTTTCCAAAATTCATCTAGAACTATTTGTGTTACTCTTGTCTGTTAATATATTCATGCCAGAGTTTGGCCTTTCTCTGCATGCCTGGTAAATGCTAATGTCTTCCTGGTAGGATAAGGCCATTTCCCCCTATCTTTTCTTGATCTTTCCGGTTTCAGGAGAAACTCAGATCTCAAGCAGCACCTCCCCTCGAGGAACTGATAGCCAACTTCTGAACCAGCCAGAACAGCCGGTCTCTGCAGCTCCAGCCTTCCTAGCACCTGAACACCAGGCCATGGTGAGTCCCATGCAAGCGCCTTCCTGGGTGCTCTTCTCTGTGTGTATATGTACATACACACACATACACATTTTGTTTTCTGTTACTGAAGGTAGAACTCAGGTCCTCACACTTGCTAGGCAAACCTAATACTTATGCCCTACTCAGTCTTTTTGCTTTTAGTGTATTTTTCAGATAGAGTATCATATTTTTTGCTTGGGGCTGACATAGGACCTCGTCCTCCCCTTTCCATTTCCCAAGTAGCTGGCATTACAAGTATGTACCAGCATACTTGGCCCCTCGCTGGGTAATATTGAGGGTCGTGAGCAGCTTCCAAACTGTGGAGAATACTGGTTTCTCTTTTGGCTCCTTCTGAGTGATGAACCTGGATTCCTTGTTTTCACCTTATCTTGCTTCTAGTCCTTGAAATGTGCTTGGTGGAGAAGGTGGGTATGTAACTCTTACTTAGAGTCTTAGCTGCTTACTGCCTGATACAGACTTCAAAACAATTATGTCAGATATTTCAAGAAGGTCTCATCCTAACTAGGAGCCCTGGAAGGAAAAATGGTTCTTTCTTAGCTTTTATTAATTTGTGTTCCTTTTTTCTAGAGTGCTTCAGACTCTGTACAGAAACCTCAGCTGTCAAAACTCAAAAGGAAGAAGCCAAGGGGGCTCTTCAGTTAACCTGTCATGTTCTCAGATGTTGAGGATGAACCAGAACAGCTTCCCAGCATCACCGGGAAAGGAGTTGGAATGGCAGAGTATCTCTCAAACAGAGTTTGTTGAGCATGGTTCATGTTGACAGGCCCATCTGAATGGGAAGCTTGACTCCAGCCTACTAGGCATTGGCCTTCCCTGTTTGAATGGAAGCCAGTCTTATACCCTTCTCTATTTTCAGTGGAGGCAATCCAGACCCAGGAACTTACCTTGAACTTTAGGTATATAGAGCAAGTCCACCAGAAGATACAACACGCTAATAAGGAAGCCTCGTCTACCTTTCTCAGGAGTCCTTAGCCAGACCCAGATGTTCCTCAGGGACCCACTTCTCCCTTCAGCACAGAATAAAAGCACTCACACTCCTCTGCTTTAGTTATTTTGGGTGCTAGAGATGCTTTGTTTTATTATTTTATTTTTATGTGTTTATTTTTGGTGTTGGCATCATGCATGCCGGGCAAGTGCTCTCATCACTGAGATACCCTCCAGCCCCTACTCCCTTGCTTTTGAGGTTACTTGTCTCTAGAACTTACAGGCCACCTCACCTCCCTAGGCCTTATTGTTGTCTCTGGGCAAAGTCTGAGCCCTCAGATTCTTCCTAAGCATCTCTACTGTGGTCTGAACTGTCACATTCAAAAATCTTGATCTTGAGAATTCTCTCCATGGTGTTTACACAAGACAGATAGACTGCTGCTCTCCTTTGCTAAACTTGGATTGTATTTTCCTGTCTGCTTCCAAGGCATAGATAAAAGATTAAACCCCGGGGTCAGATTGATATTACACAGCTTCTAGCCCTAGGATGGATGGGAGATCCCATGGATGTGACAAGTAGGAATTTCACTTTCTCATTATCTACTCCAGTTCAAGTAATGTTCTAAGTGGAACTAGAATGACAGGGAATAGGAAATGACCCCTGGGGTTCTCTGGGACAACAGAACAAATAGTACCTGGCAGAAAGAAGTGTAAAGGTTGCGTAATAAAGGCAAATCTGAGACAGTCACTCTTGGGCAAAGCAGATACAGTCCCTTGACCTTCTCGGCCAGGTCTTTCTCTATAGTGAGACCTTGGAGAGATCGGAATGAAAGTGAACTCCAGTGTACTAAGAACCCTTAGGTGGAGATGGGAGTCAGGAGCAGATGCAGCGGTCTTTTCTGGCCTGCTTATTTTGATGGTTTCCTAATGTATCTATGTATTCTCTCGCACTGGGACCATTGTTTCTTTACTGATATCCAGCCATGGGGGAGAGGACCATCCTAGTGATAATAAAACACAAATCATAATAAGAACACCAGCTATTACTGGTTAACTGTTATTACTGTCTCACATTTATTGAGCAGTTAACATAGACATAGCCTGTCTAGTAGGCACCTGAATCTTCAGTGACTACAAGGAAGATACCATTAACTTACCAGGAAGTGATTAAGAGACTTAGAAAAGGTCCCTCAGCTAAGGTGACAGCCAGAATTTGACATCAGACAGCTGAGTTGTTGGGTTTTTTTTCCTTTTCAAAGTTTTAGCCAAGATTTATTTTACTATAACAGGGTTAAAGTAAGGAGAAATAGAAGAGAGACATTTCCTGCTCCCCAGGCAGGAAATGGGGAGTTAAAGACTCTTGACAGCTGAGTTCTTAACAACATTATTATATACATTACTGAAAACCCTTTTTAGGAGGGCTGTGAGTCTTCTGCAGTATCCACCTTTATCCTACAACCCTGTCTTCTTCCAGTACATATTCTCCTCCCTGTGGGCTCTTCAAGGCATGAGACCCCTGAGGACCTCAAGGCTGACATCTTTGCTTTTCCCTTCTACCAGGCCTCATTCCCTGCTACTGATCACTTTTCTTTACCTACACACCACAGCACCTGGGTTGTGCCCTGGGAACTACCTTTTTCAAAGCAAATTGGAAACTGTAATCAAATACATTATCAGGTGGTACACTTGGTCTTTTAGTTTTTGGAATCATTTAGTTAGCAAAATCTCAGGGTATATGCAGCATAAGAGCGTAGAGAAAGTGGTTGATGAAAATAGGGGTTCTTCCCTTGGGTGATCCCTCTGCCTAAATAGCAGTCTTAAGTAGGCATCTTTTATGCCAGGAAGTCCAAGAGCCTGTGAATTTCCTAAAATTCTAAGGACAATCCTAAGAGCATAGTCTCCCATTCATACTCTCATAGTATTGTAGGACTTCTTCAAAAGGTTAAGTAAGAGTGTGCCTCTTAACCTTCCCATCCACTGCCCCCTGTGTTCCTGAAAGTTGCTCCCTCTATAGAGGTATTGCTTAGCTGCCTCTTTAGGGGAACATTGCTGCCAGAGGCCCAGACTCAGGCATCCCTGCCCTAAAGCCCTTACCCTTGAGAAGGGGTGGTGTTTGAAAATCATTCATCTCAGGGCAACTCCAGGGAAATCCCTGCTTTGACAAATTGGCCTAGCCAGGCTGTATCCAGCCCTGCCCCCCTGACTTGGGCCCCTCCCTGAGGCCCCTAGCCTAGCCCAACCCCCACTCTGCATGCACATAAAAGGGTCGAATTCTCGTGGCTGCTCCATAAATTTTATTCCGTAAATATTAGTTTTCCCTGTGTTTAATAAAGCGGTGGCCCACCTCCCCGCCTACCCGCCCGCTCCCCGGGGCCGGGGCTGGGGCCAGGGCTGGCTGGTGGGAGAAGGGACTCTTTCAATTGCTTTGGAGTATTTTTAGAAAAAAAAATAATATAAGGTGGTTTACACGAGCAAGCCAGCAAACCAGGAGCAGGACTGGGACCTCGAGGAAGTTCCTGCAGCAGCTCGACCTAAAAAGTAGAGAAATAGCGCCACCTAGGTTGCAAGGCCTACTTGGCCTGGCTGGCCGGTCCCTCAGTCAGCTGGGGCAGGCATGCTCTTTGGCTGGAAGAGAAACCCTCCTCCCTGCGCGTGAGGTGGGAAGGACCCCCTTACCTCATGCTTCACAGGGTTTCCCCGCAGCCCTTAAAAGCAGAGCCCATGTTGGATTCTGGAAAATCCCACCAAAATCGTTCGTGCTGCTGCTGCTGGGCACTACATCCAGAAGTGTTTCCAAGGGATACTAAAGTTCCTGAAGAGAGATGGGTGGAGAGGGGAAGAAGAGAGAGAGGGATGGAAAGACTGGGAAGGAGGATGAATCTAGTCTCTGGTTCCTTGGATGTAGGGTAGCAAGGACTAAGATCTGTGCTGCTGTGCTCTGGACTGGTACAGTCCAGCCTATTCCACCCGAATCCTTCCAGGTCTGCTGCAAGGCCCATACTGTGGGCACTGAGGGAGAAGAGATGCCCCCCATTTCTGATTTTTATCCTGTGGTACCTCTGGACTCCTTTCTTTGGACTCTGGTTTTATCCTGTGGTACCTTTGGACTCCTTTCCCTCCTGTTCACCTAAGGCTCCCATGTCCCAACCCTTTACCTCCTCTCCAGCCCAGTTCTCTTGGGAGCCCTTGTGTACTTTGTGCAAAGATGGCCGCTAGAATGGTGGTGTGGAGGGCTGTGCCTGTCCTGGTTCTTAATTGCTCTCATTCCCAATGTTATCATCAGGGACAATTTCTTTTCCCCATTTATTTTGTCTATCATTTTCTTCTAGGGAAACTAGATATCAAAACTGGGAAGACTTGTTCCAAAGAGTCTAGGGGATACCTAAATGATCTTAACAATCCTTCCTCTTGGCCTGAGCGCACTTATTCTACTTACCTCTCACTAGCATGTCACTGATACAATCTGTGTTAACAGCCCCATTTCCTATGTGGGTTTTTTTTTTTATTTGTTTTCCTCCTTTCATTAGATTATACTCCATGAGAAGAGAGTCCTTTTTTTAGCCCTAACTTAGAAAAAAAAAGTCACAATGATGATATTATAATATAATGGGTACAATTTTTAGTTAACTAGGTTTCCAAACCATCAGGATATTTTTTACCCCCTCGGCTTTCTCCTGAGTAGTTTGAATCATAATATTCCTCAGAAAGACACTCTTTTTCAAAAGGAGTGTCATTCTAAAGGAAGCCACCAAATTCAGACTTCAAGAACCATGGTTGTGGGCTGAAAGTATGTCTCAAAAGATAGAATGTTTGCCTAGCAAGTACATGGCCCTCAATTCAAATCTCAGTACTCCCCAAAGAAATCATAGCTGCTAGTCCTTATTACCACCTCTTATACCTGTATGGGCTGGAAAAAAATCTAATGGATTATACGAGGCCCCTAGACATGGAGGGAGACACAGAAAAAGGAGCTGTGGGCTAGGGCTGAGGGTTCTAGATTGCTGTGGTCCCCTGGACCCTCAGGATGCTACTACAGGACACTCAGCATGTCCAGGAATCCTTATCACTCCAGACACTTCTGTGTTCTCCTGGCAGCTTGGACTGGGCCTAGGGAATCTCTCTCTTTATCTTTCATTCCAGAACCCTTTAAAGAATACTTAACTCTTGTGTGTGTGTGTGTGTGTGTGTGTGTGTGTGTGTGTGTGTGTTGCTGGGGATCAAACTCAGGGCACTGTGCATGCTAGGTTAGTGTTCTACCACTGAGCTACAGCTTTGCTGATGCTGTTTTTATGGAGGTCCTTTATGCAGCCCCTCATTTCTGGAGTCTCACTTCTCTACCTTGGCATGTGAGATGCCATTAGGCAACATTATTTTTCTGAGCTAGGAAGTCCTATCCCCACTCAGTTTTGCTATCTGGAGCCCAAGAGATCTCGTGATACTTTCTACACCCTTGAACCTCTTTGAATGAGTATTGGCCCCTGGGCACCCAATTCTCAAGGATTTCTGAGAATCTGGACCAGCCTACCAGGGGAACCCGGAAGAGGCATTGAAAGAACTCCAGGGTGTGGGGAGCACACAGGCATTGACTCACCTGGGAAGATTGTGCCAGGATTACTTACTTGTCCTGCTGGGCAAGGGCCAGGAGTTAAAGGAGCAGGCAGTGCCACTCTTCCTCCTCTCACTTCAGAGCCCCAAAACAGTGGCAGGGCTGGAAGCGGAGAGCCAGGCTTGGGGGCTGCTGGGAGTCCCTTCTGAAATCTGGGTGTTGTATTTACTTTTTCATATTGGCAGCTGGAAGGGGAAGCCCATCCCAGCTCGGCATTGTTGTCTAACATGGTTAATCAGATCCTATAATCCTGCTGTGGAAATATTGGGCCTCACTCAAAACAATAGAGACCAAGAATATTGTGGTTAAATTTCAACCAACTGCCTCCCTGGCCTGTTTGCCTAACCCCTACCCCCCTCTCTCGGGCCAGAGTCCTCCCAGCTTTATGGACCCCTGATAGGATCGACAGCCAGTCAGAAATCGGTGACAGGAGAGGGGAGAATGGAGTAGGGGAAGGGCATTCCTTTTGACTGGCACTCCATCCTGCCTT